CAAAGGGGGCGGCTTGGGTGGTTTACATGGTATATAATCATGCTCACCATGATATAGGTATAACATTTATTTATTTATTTTGTGTGTGTGTGCGTTTTTTTGCTCTTAAAAGTTATAAGTTAAACTCTTGGTGTCCTTCGCCTTTCCAATGGGTAGCAACCTTGCATTGGCTGTCTGCCGGACCTTAACTCATTCTGCTGCCATATTCTCTTTTTGGTATCATTTCGTGATGTAGACACCCCATTTTTGACGGACCTTAAGACTCTAACATCATCGTTTGTGCACGCGATGATTGCGCATGTTTGTGCTTGTTTCGAACGCCCGAAGTTCTCAACTGAGTGCCTTGTCTTTGAGCCTCTTAACACTTTGTGTTTTGGCCTTGGTTTTTGGGCCAAACCTTGTTGCCTCTTGCCTGAGGAAAAGGAAGGGCTACCAGCCACTTGTGGCACTTGCCGACCACTTTTCTCCCTTGTAGGCCACTTGAAGTGGTCGGCCGGCTAGGGGAGGTGGCCTGCCGGCGAACTTAACTGGTTGACGGCCAATCTTTCTCCTTTTTTTAGATATTTCCAGATATTTTAAGCTAGCTGTTGAGCATTGAGGCCATCCTCCATACACGTGTATGGAGGGGTTGGAACAAGCTCTAAGCTTGTCAAGCAAGCTTCTCCTTGCTTTGCTTATATAAGGGGAGGTCCCTTCCCCTTGTAAGAGGTTCAGATTTTTTAGAGCAAAAAAATCTACTCTCTCTCTAGAATTCTCTCTCTCTCTCTCTCTCTCTATATATATATATATTTTGTGCTTGAAAGTGGGAATTCTTGGTGCATTTGCAAAGGGACTCTTGATCAAATACTCCTACCTTGGAGCTGAGGTTTCTTGAGGTTTGTTTGGAGCTTTTTAAAGTTAGTTTTGGCTCAGAAGTGCTGCTGTGGCTGTTGTGCTTCAAGGGTAAGCCATCTTCTCTTTGAAACTTTGTTTTAGTTGCTTACTTAGCCACCTTTGCATGCTATTTTAGGCCTAGCTTTCAACTACAAAAACCTTTGTTTTTAAGTGTTAAAAATGGTAGTTTAAAGTGCTTTTGGAGTTAGGGGTGTTTCACCCTCTTTGGTGGCTTATTGGCTAAGCTTCTTGCCTTCCTTTAGAGCTTTTGAAATTATCTTATTTTGGCCTTTTAACCACTAAATTCCAGAGGAATTTCAGTGGTGAAAAACTTGTTTTGAGGTCCCAAATAAAAGGGGGTGGTCTCCCCTCCTCTTGTCTTGTTAGCATGTGTCGTTGGCCTACCAAATGAGCATGTGTTTCTCCCTTCTTGAGGCTTAGTTTGAGCATGTTTTTGTGACGTTTTGGACCTACTATAACTCTTTTTTTGGCTGGTTTGGTCACCTCTCGCATGCTTCATACACTTGTAGTGTAATCCTACTTGCTAGCCTAGCATGTATTGGCTCTACTCCAGCATGTTTTTGGCCATTATTTAACATTCTTTAACTCTAATTTTGGTTGGTTGGGCCACTTCTTGCATGCTTCTTACACGTGTAGTGTAATCTTACCCATTAACCTAGTGTACTTGGTGATTTGGCTTCCCATTCTAGCTTATTTTGACTACACTTCAACATGTTTTTGGCATTGTTTTGACATGCTTTAGGACTGTTTTGAGTGGTCTTGGTCATGTACGGCTTGCCTTGTATGGCTATAGCATGATAGGCTTTCATAGTCTTGAGTTTTGAGACCCCTAGCATGCTTTGCTTGGGTTGTTTGCATGCCATAGAATCATTTAGCATGTGATTTCAGAGCATATGTCACTGTCACACTCTCACATTTTCCACTCCTTCAATGTGTTTGAGAGTTGTGCCTTATGCCTTGTTTGTGAGCTACCAAATGAGCATGTTTTTCTTGCTTTTTGTGCCTAAGTTTTAATGTGTTTTGGCCACTGTTTTGGAGTATCTTAGGTCTGTCCATAGCTGGTTTGACCATTTGAGCTTTGTATTGTATGCCTCTAGTGAAGTGCTCTTCACTAGTCTTGATATTTATGGCTTTTCAACATGTCTTGCATGCTTTAGTGTCTTTAGCATGCCATTTCAGTGTTGAAATTTGTGTCATTGCACTCCATGCTTCACTCTTTCATTTGCCTTGAAAGTGGTCTTAAGCCCCTTGTTGGCTTGAGCATGGAATGGAGGCTCTCATGCATGTGGTTTTAGCCTTCTCTTGAGGGTTTCTACCAACCAAAAGCATGAGGCTTCTTCCATGCTCAAGGTGCTTGTGGCTGAGGCCATCTTTTCCATTAGAGGACTTTCACATTGAATTAAACTGGTTAATGAATGACTCGGTAATTCTAAAATGTGTAAACAAGAATTGAACAAAGTAAAACATGCAAGATAAGCATATTTGTGTTGCATTGCATGTGTTTGGATTGGACGTTAATCCAAACACAAGAAAGATGGGGCGTTTCATACTCCAAGTGATGAAACGTGTCACATTTCATGGTCACCAATACCCTTGATCATGCATGATAGGGTAGAGGCATTTTGAGTCTTATGTGCGCATTCACTAAGCTTGTACAAGCTTGGTTTTTGGGCCATCATGCATTAAGATGCTTGGTTGGTGGCTTAAAAGCCAAGTACTACGCTCCTTTAAGCTTGAGAAATGATAACGAGAGTAGTTGCACATAAATTTCCTTGCAAATACATTGTTGTGCCTTTGTTGTTCTCTGTTACAGCAAAAGCAGGCTTCTGGAAAGAGAAGTGGCCGGCCGGCCACTTGCACCAGCCGACCGACCACTTGCACTGGCCGGCCGACCAGTTGAGGTAGCCTACCGACTAGTTGAGGTGGCCAACCGGCCACCTGCAGCAAAATTGTCCAAATTCTTCCTGTATTGAGGCAGATGCAACCTGGAAGTGTGTATGATGTTCTGAGATCATTGCAAGTGTAAACAGAGATAACTCATGGCAAGGTAATGGATTTCCGGGATGATGCCAACCGAGCATGCATGTCTCCTCGCCCGCGAGGCCACTTTATTGCTTTATTAGCTAGTTGTAGCTAGTTCAATTAATGTGTTGTAATATTTTAAATTAGCTTAGTATAGCTAGTTTTCAATTCGGTTTGTAAGTAATTAGCTTAGCATAGTTAATTAGTTGATTTATAATAAGTAGCTTAGCTTAGCTCTTATTTATTCGGACTCTCCCATAAGAGGGCACAATGTTGTAATAAGGGTGCGTGTGTGTGTGTGTCTTCCAACCCCACGTCTTTTTCCCTTTTATTTACCCGTTTTCAGTGGTTAGATTAGGGCACGTTTTGATTAGCATACCTTATGCTTGCATGTTTGCATCATTCATTTGTCTTGCATGCACCGGCCTCGGCACATCATTCAAACTGCATTGCATTTCAATACCTATGTGAATACATGTTATCAAGTGTTGCATTCATATGCCATCTTAGATAGCCGAGCCTATTTAATTGTATTATTGCATGCGTTGCATTAGGCATTTAACATAGTTAGGATCATGCATGATTTCTAACTAGTTTCCTGTTTTGGTTTGGAGTATACTGTAAGTGTTTACGTTTTAGCATACTGTATGAGATGTGTATGTTGCCATAACAGCATGCTTGCCATGAGGCTATGTGCTTAAGTGTTTAACTACATGAATGCCTGTGGATGACGGCTTGATTACTTGAATTGGGACAATTCATTGATTGTGAGTTTTAAGCCCACTTTGCAGAGTGGCAAATCATGTTATTTTAAGCCCACTTGAGGGTGGCAAAATCTGCGCTCTAGCCCACCGTGGTGGTGGCATTTTCAAACCATTTTCGAAAACAAACATGAATTGTTTTGTTCCAATTCTCGCGATTTAGTTTATACTTGTATGCTGTACGCATCACATAATAAGTTAGATTAATAACCGGATAAGAACATATGTGTTTATAAAAACAACATATCATGCTTAGTAGAGGCCGATCCTTTGATCGGACGAGCAGGGGTGCTCATTTCAGGACCTTCCTCTCTCGTACCCAAGTTCCCGAGCCGAGGCAACTTTGGTGATGACGGACACGTGGCCTTAGGCACGAGTCAGGGTTTCCTAAATTTTCCAAAACAAAATATTTAGGTTGCAATTCTGAAATCTGGCAAAGTAGTCCATGTTTAGCATTTTTTTTTTTTATTAAAATTGATTTTTCAAAACCAATTGCCGGATTTGGACTCTTTGATGATTTATCAGTCTTACATTGCACTTTGTGAGATTAGATTCAGAACCGTGACAGGAGTCCGAACTGTAGTATCTAAAACCCAATTTGCGCCCTCCGAAAGGGGGGCGCGCGGAGGGAGTTCCGGGCAGTCCACAGTTTCTGGCGACTCTGCTGGGGATTTAGAGAACTTGGCTCGAACTCATAATATGTTGTTTTGTCTACACTTATGTGCTTCTTTGCATTGCATTTGCATTGGTGCGCTTAAGTCATAGTGTTTGCCATCTGTTATTCCTGAACGGTTTGCCGAAGGCTTGCTTGGAAAAGCGTGCCATAAGGCTGACCGGTTACGGGCTCTGCCACGATGGAAACGCAAACCTCGATTTTTACTGAGGCACCCTTTTTGACCATTCGACCTGGTCGCATATCAGAAGCCATAAAGACCATTCCAAATTAGGACAGGTTACTTACCCGAATGTAGGTTGTTTGAAACTGCTGCTTGCGTAGTGAAACCTTTGCTCCTAACAAAATAGGATAGGGAACCCCTACCCCACCATAGGGGTGTTTTGGCTCTTACTTGCTTGATATGTGCTGTTAGAGTGCGTTTCTACAGGTTGTATGTATCAGTTGCAAGTCTGGGTATCAGTTTGAGGGCATCAGTTTTGCCTGAGGGTGTCAGATTTGAGGCAGTGATTTGGGGGCAGAGATCAGTGTTTGAGTGCAATTTGTTCAGCTTGTGATATCAACTGTGTGTTGTCTTTATCTAAACCGAAATGCTGTCCGTTTTTCTGCTTGTTTGTTTCCTTATTTTTGCTTTATTTATCTTTTTGCAGGGGTAGTATTGCATCGATAAGGAAGATACCCCCCGAACACTCTGGACCAGAGTTGGGAGAATTCATCGATCTGAGGATTTAGTTGACGGACAACCAGTGTTGGTTTCACTACCCCCGGTTACTAGACGGGGGTCATCCAGGCACAGGTCATCAGTACAGTAGTTACCAGATCAACGGTCCTTATCCACCTCACCTGTGCGTAGTTGGGCTGAGATATATGCTTCTACCTCAGAGAGGAGATACACACCTGTTCAGTCAGATCAGCAGTTTTCAATCAACATGGAGGACATGATGCATCAACTCCAAGAGACTATGCAGGCCATGCAGCGAGATGCTGCCCGCCAGACAGAAGTTACCGCCCATCAGGCGGAAGTTGTGGCTCAACAGGCAGAACTAATTGCCAGAGTTCAGCAGCAGCAGCAACCCCAACAAGCTGGAGCGTCTGCTTCACATCCACCTCCACCCTCACCCTCACCCTCACCTATGGTTCCAACACCCAAGGAGGCGGCTCACGTCCAAGAAAATACGGACGTTCTGACAGGGCCTGTCCCACTGCCAATCCTACCTCAGATGTCTAAAGCACCGGCTAATCCTGTGGACACACCGTTCGAATTCGAGATGGATCCAACTGCGCTGAAAGTCAGTAAGCTTGAGAAGCTGTTTAAGTGAGCCCAGGGAGTCAACTCGATCCCAGACATTGAAGATGGATATACTGATTCGGCGGTGACATTGCTGGACAGCCCGCCAGACAGAAGTTACCGCCCATCAGGCGGAAGTTGTGGCTCAACAGGCAGAACTAATTGCCAGAGTTCAGCAGCAGCAGCAACCCCAACAAGCTGGAGCGTCTGCTTCACATCCACCTCCACCCTCACCCTCACCCTCACCTATGGTTCCAACACCCGAGGAGGCGGCCCACGTCCAAGAAAATACGGATGTTCTGACAGGGCCTGTCCCACTGCCAATCCTACCTCAGATATCTAAAGCACCGGGTAATCCTGTGGACACACCGTTCGAATTCGAGGTGGATCTAACCGTGCTGAAAGTCAGTAAGCTTGAGAAGCTGTTTAAGCGAGCCCAGGGAGTTAACTCGATCCCAGACATTGAAGATGGATATACTGATTCGGCGGTGACATTGCTGGATAGGTTTAAGATGCCTCACATCGACCGTTTTGACAGGTCAGGAGATCCCGTGGTCCACCTGAGGTTGTTTTCAGATGTTTTGCGCCCGATGGGCTTGACAAGATTACAGAAGCTCTCCCTTTTTGGTCGGACCCTGTTGGGTATCGCGGCCATCTGGTACGCCAAGTTGGAGAACTCAGTGAAAAGAAGTTGGGAGGAGATGGCCGAGGCCTTCGTCACACAATATTCATACAACACCCAGATCGAGGTCACGACCCGTGATCTTGAGGTGACCAGGCAAGAGCCGAAGGAGGGCTTTTCTGACTTTGTCACTCGATGGAGGGCCAAGGCCTCCATGATGACAACTTGGCCGCTTGAGAAAGATCTGATAAGGATAGTTGTGCACAACCTTCAACCCAGGCTCATGTAGAAAGTGATCGTCTTACCCCTTCCCACCTTTGCTGACTTACACGAGATTGGGGTACAGATTGAGGATTCCACAAAGCAAGGTCTGATTGACCATGAGAGAGAGCAGCCCAAGAAGGCGTTTACCCGTGGTTCGAATGCAGGTACGAGTAGCGCTGCAGCCGCAAGGACTTCTGACGTGGGCATGGTCACCACCACCACACCAAAAATAGCCACACCATTCACCAGCACATCTAGTGCCACCCCTCAATTAGCAAAATACCCACCTCGGGGCCAGAGGACTTTCACCCCGCTGTATATGCCTTTGTCCAAGGCCTTGGGGGTTTTAATAAAAAAGGAACATCTGAAGCCCCTAGAATCGTGCCCACTACCAAATAACCTCCCTCTAACACATAACCCGGCCAAATACTGTGCCTTTCACCAGCAGCGTGGTCACGACACCGACCTCTGCTTCAAACTACGTCATGAGATTCAAGATCTCATTGACAACAAGGTGATTGCACCTCCCGACAAGCCAAACGTCACCACTAACCCTTTCCCACCATATAACAACAACCCTCCTCTACCAAAGCAGATAAACCTGATCCAAACTACGGCCATCCCGTATGACCCTAGCGTATACATCACACCCTCCCACCTACCTAAGCCTGAGGTGTTCATCCCGGACAGCACAGACTTCTGTATGTTGAGCACCTCCCTAGCCCAACCCGGGCTAGTGGTGGTGACTATTGGAGACAGAACTGGGGTGACTTTGGAAGAGAGTGGGAATACTGATTCAGAGCCTGATGGATCTGGGAGCTTTACCGAGGAAACATATAACCCGTGTGGTTATATCGTGTCAACAGATCAGGCTAAGCCGAGGGTAGAGTTGCCAATAGGGGCGGAGATCAGTGTGTTTCGGGAGGATGGACCGAGTTTGGGGCTAGATTACCTTGCCGAGCTAGAGGAGGATATCAGCAACCTTCAGTTCTTTGATAAGCAAAACCCGGGGGATGTGAGCATCAACTGGTTTGGTTTGAATGGATCAGCAGATACCACCGGGTTGCTCAGTGACGAGCCGGATACTGTTGAGGTGCCTCAGCCAGAACAGGGACCGTCAGAAACAGGAACGTCTACAGTGGTCGGAATGGTCGAGAATCAGGAAGAATCGTTGGAGAGCATTGGTGCGAAGAATTTTGCTAGGGATTTGGGTAATTTGAGTACGGTAGATACCGAACAAGAGGCTGCATTAAAGAGGTTTGGGCAGGAGAAAATTGAGAATGAAGACAGAGCTAGAAAAGCCAAGGCACCTGAGGGGGCCGAGTGTGTTGAAAACACAAGAACAGCTATAGCGGAATTGGACAACTGTCTGTTGGTGGCCATTAGGATGTGGTGGGAAGACGATGACTTACGTCTTGCCCATACTGACGAGGACTAGAGACAGAACCAACCAGATGACACCTGGTATATTGAGGAGGTCAACCATATGACTCGAAGTGGGCGGTACTTCAAGCCCCCACATTTGGACCAGCCGGAGGCATCCAGGAAAGACAAAGAGGCAGAGAGGCAGAAAGAAAAACTACTAGAGGAGGAAGCTGTGCTGAAACAGCTAAAGAAAATTCAAGCAAACATCTCCATCTGGGGACTGCTTATGGCTTCGAGGGTTCACAGACAAGCCATCCTTACAGCCATGGACAGGGCTAAGCTTTCAATTGATACAACACCTGAGCAGTTGGTAGGATTTGTTTTCTCAGGTGGAGCTTCCCCGACCTTGACCTTCAGCAACAAAGAACTACCGCCTGAGGGCTCTGAACATAACAAGCCGCTCTATATCTTTGTGGCGTGCAAGGAGAAGTGGATACCGGTGGTCCTAGTCGATACGGGGTCTGCAATCAATGTATGTCCGTCGAGAACGGTGTATGCTATCGGGTTGAAGTTTGCAGATTTTGTGCCTACAGCCCAGGTAATACGGGCCTATGATAACACCAGTCGAGAGGTGATGAGGACCGTACGGATCAAGACTAAGATTGGCCCGGGGCAGCATGACATTGAGTTCCATGTCTTGGATGTTCCAGCCACCTTCAATCTACTCCTTGGGCGACCTTGGTTGCACCAGGTGAGAGAGTCTCTTCCACCTTACACCAGATGCTGAAGTACCCCCATGGGAAGGGGGTGCCAAATGTTTTTAGGAACTCGTCCATACATCCGCCGCTAGAGGTTTTTACACCAGTTCTGGAGATTGAGCACGGCGTGAAGGATGTGTTTTTGTTAGGATTCACCTTAGCTGAGGCTCAGGTTGTACATGATATGCTAGTTGTTGATGAGGGACTATAGGTCAGTGCGAAGTCTGTCTACCTCATGAACAAGCTTCAACACATGCCCAGAATGGGACTAGGATGGAGTGGCCAGAAGGGCGTCGCTACATTGGCCGAAGTGCCACACAACCCATATACCTTTGGTTTAGGTTATTTGCCTACCAAAGTGGATTAGGCAAGGACAAGAAGGGAAATGGCCGAAAGAGCCAAGGCCAAGCAAGCCGGGATACACTACGAGTTGGTGCACAAACCTATCCAAGGGACCCTGAACGGACGCTTTGTCTGGGAGGGGGAAGATTTCCCGTTTTTGTGGCTTTCCAAAGCCATGGCTGAATTCAGAGAGGCGGCGCTTGCCGAGTTTTGAGATCTTTTTTGACCTTCAGTTGTCAGGGGATGAAGTTGCGGAAGAACAGAAAGACCCACCGACTGAGGCTAAGCAATGCAAGGAGGATGAGTCTGAGAGCACAGATATTGAGATTGGGGTAGCACTAGCTTGTCTCCTCTCAAATCCTCAGATCACACCGGAGTGCTTGGGGGATAACTTCTCAGTTACCATGATTGGGGATCAAGCGGCTATGGGCCCACCTTCTGGCATTCTCGATGCATCTATCGCACCTTCCTTCGTTTGGCAGTACGAGGAGGGCTTTTTATGGAGCAGTTCTGGGTCAGGTAGTGACCCGAAATCTAATTCCACAGAGTCTGTGGAGTCGGAATCAGATTCCAGTTCTTCTGAGTCTGAGTTCAGTATTCATGGGGGTGATAACCCGGATGCCACTGTCCTGTCCAGGTCGTCTTTTTCATTTTCCTTTGAGTCTGTTGTAACCGAAGGATCAGACGAACTGGATGTTGTTAATGAGAATGGTACAGCTGTGGCTTCTGAGTACTTTCTATGCCTTTAGTTTATTACATTAATCAGGACTTTTAAAACTTCGATGAAAATGACAAGGAAGAAATTCCTCCGGTTTTGAAACATTTGCTTAATCAAGAACATGAGAGGTTTGTAAAACCTTTGGTTGATGAAATCACCTTAATTAATGTTGGTACTGAGAAGGACCCGGGGCTGGTCCAGATCGGGTCCATGTTGTCTTCTGAAGAACGCGAGCGCTTAGTCACTTTATTAAAAGATTTCAAAGATGTTTTCACGTGGTCCTACGAAGACATGCCTGA